GTTGAGGCAAGGTCTCTCTCTTTAAAACCAGAGGTCACTGATTAGCTTGCTCCAGGGAATCCCATCTCTGCCTCATGAGAATTAGGGCTATACTTGGCTTTTATGTCTGCCTGATGTTTACATGGGTTCTGGAAATTTGAACCCTGGTCCTCATATTTGAATGGCTCATGTTTCACCCACTAAGTCATCTCCACTGTCTCCAAGATGTATTCTTGACTATTGACCCCTTCTCTCTTCCATAAAGTCTCTTGCATGGGATGGACTCATTGTTTACACATTTTCAAAGGACGTTCTGTAGGTGTCTTTTCTCCTGCAACTAAGGCAAGGCTTCACAGAATGTAAAGATTGCGGCTTTTCTTGGTGCATGAAATGCACCAGATCCTGTGCATACCAGTTGAGGGATAAACACAAGCATGCCTGGTGATGCCGCTTTCCCGCATTATTCTAAGAGAGGTCATCACCTACACCTGTGGGTCTAGGCGGAAGGGATGCAAGGCCTTGGGTGTGTCAGCCAGCACTCTTGGAGGTCATTTCTTGTCAGCTTGGATTGACAGGATGAGGATGCTACTCTCAGGCTGGGGCTGGACCCCGGCCAAGTCTGACGTATTCCTCCCACAACAGCCGTGCTCCCTCGGCATGGAGGGTTCACATCCCCTTACATAACTCAGCCCTTATGATGCCGAATGGGCTCGGAAGGAAGGATGTTCACACTGCATGGAAAACGACTTGGCCTGGACCATACACATATAGACTGTCATGGGAAGAGAGTCTGTTAAGGCTGGGGCATACGATGCACACTGTCCCTGACTCATCATCCACTCAGGAGCAAGAACTCACAGGGTCATAGATTTTAGTGCTGAAGGTAACCGGCCTTAAGGGACTACTGACCTAGAAAAATCTTCCTACCAGACAGCTAGCCGATTGACTACACTTTAAGCTTTATTTCATTTGCATATGTTTAGAATATGAACAACGTGCGTCGAGATTCTCACTGGTAGAGCCTCTCGCCTCCCTTGCTGGTGGGTGTGTGATGTTGTCTGCTGGTGACCTTGATGCTCCAGGTGGCTGGCACTGCTGGCAACACTGTTGTTCTTATTTTTCACCGTGGTTGTGTCACGTACCCAGGATTTACTTCCGGTCTAATGCTGCTCTAGGTAAATGTGTGCTTGCTCCTTCACTCCCCTCAACAGGGCTGTGATTCACGTTTTCTTTTCCATGCGTGACGAAGCTGAACTCAAGGAGATTAGTTAATCCTCTGTGATTCGGTCCAAAGGTACAGGATGAAGTTAGCATAGGAATGCAGGTCTGTCCCACTCTGTGACCTGTGCTATGAAGGTGTGCCAACACAGCCAGAACTCTCCTTCTCTGCATCATAAAAACAGACAACTTCAAGCAACCATGGTACCGCTGTGTGCCAACACTATGCCAAGTATGTTTTACAAACACTAACTTAATAGTTACTAATGGGAAACGAGGCACAGGGGTAGAACCAAGGGCCTCACATATGCTAGGCACTCTAGTTTCCTGCCTGCTACTGCGATAAAATATTCTGATTAAAAACCTTGTGGAGGGGACTGGAGAGATGACTCAGCGGTTAAGAGCATTGCCTGTTCTTCCAAAGGTCCTGAGTTCAATTCCCAGCAGCCACATGGTGGCTCACAACCATCTGTAATGAGGTCTGGTGCCCTCTTTCTGGCCTGCAGGCATACACACAGACAGAATATTATATACATAATAAATAAATAAATAAATAAATAATTTAAGAAAAATCTTGTGGAGAAAAGGATTGCCTCATCTTACACTTCCAGGGAACAGTCCATCACTGCAGGAAGTCAGGAACCTGACGCAGAAACCGCAGAGGAATGTTGTTTGCTCGCTAACTCACTGGCTTATGCTAGGTTAGCATTTTCCCTCAGCCTAGCACTGCCTGGCACAGGAATGGTGTGGTCCACAGTAGGTCCGGCCCTCCTACAGCCATTTATAATCAAGACCATCCCTCACATGAATCCACACAGGCTAATCTGATCTAGAAAATTCCTCAACTGAGAATGTCTTCTCTCAGATGACTCAGTTGACCATCAAGGGTAACTAGTACACTAGGCAAGAAGTCTATCACTGGGAAACACCCTCAGCCCTAATATTAATACTGAAAGATATAGTTATTGCTCTACCTTATAGATAGCAAACTGAGCTTGACTGACCCACCCAAGGTCACACAGTCATTCTGTAGAAGACTAAGAATTCAGGCGCCGTGGTTCGATCACAGGCATACTCTATGACTCTTGCTTCTCACCCATTCATTTCCCCCCTCATAAACACCTTGTAAATTGAGCAAGCAAAGAGTAATGACTCCTGAGTCCACATACAGTTGAGAAAGGGGCCAGGGACCATGAAGACATGACTGTGCCCATGTCTCTTTTTGACGACTTATGGTCACTATGACGACTAAAGTACACTCTTTACAACGTGAGGAGAGGAGGCAAGGGAAAGGGGCTTGAGAGGGCCAAAGCTCATGAACGGACTCTTAGTTGCAAGAGGGCTGCCTCTTACTGCCCCCTGTGTAAGTGTCAATGGGTCCCCTAAGCTCTTGGAAGGACACCAGCTATGAACACATAAGGGCAATAATGAGCCAGATCAGTATAGAAGTTCTCAGTTCGTTTTCGGTCCCATCCCCTAGTGGACAGGTTTGTACTAGAGGATCCATTACAGTGTCCCCTCTGCTGTTGGTCTGCTCTGATGAGATGGCAGAGGAGATCCCATCTTGAGTGGAAATGCACGTTCAGAAATTTGTACAGAAAGTTGTTATATGTCAGGGAGCATGAAGCATTGTACTTGAGCCCTGGGAGGCCAAGGTGTAGGCAGGTTTGTTGGCCTGCCAATTCTGTGAATTGAAGGGCTTGGTCTGTAAGCTAAGCAAGGAGTTCTTGTTTGGAATCAGATACGGGCTGGGATTGGAAGTAGACCTCAACAAGGACCTTTCTTGGGCTGAATTCAGGGGCCAAGATTGTGACTGCAGTCTAAGATAGGGTGAGCACTCATGATTCTCATGTGGGGCAGGGGTTGGAATTCACTGTGGGGCCCTGGTGTGGGATCACACCCACCTAGTTCTAGGAACTAGTGTGTGAGCAAGCTAGAAGAGGAGGAGGCAAGGACATCATCCAAGGGAAGGGGACTTGGGCGAAACCAGTTTCCTAACTGCCTCTCTCTTTGGCTCCATCCCCCTCAACTCCCAATCACTAAGCGTCTTTTGCTGGTTCTTGAAGGCACCATCACTATGAGGACAGGGTGAATCATTCATTAAGTGAAGTAGACTGCCCCTTTGAGTGCATTAATTCCCGTTTTCTGAGTGAACAGGGAAAAAAAAAAACAGCCTCTTGTTTCTTATTTGCTATTCTCTCCCTGTGAAAATCATACTTGCAAATGCATTTTCTCTAGCCAAGCAGCAAGCATGCATGGCTGCGTACACCTGTCAATTTGATTGGCAGCTGTCAGTCAGGACTAAAGTTTCCTAACATCTGAAATGCCAGTCTAAAGGTGCCCTTAACAGCAAAATCCACCTTCTTCCTAGAGAACTTGGCGAGGCTGGTAGGGAAAAAGGGGAGGAGTGAGGATGCCATTGACAGAAACTTCCCAGATCTTAAAACTAAATCACATGGTCAGACCCAAATTCCTGTTGCATATAGATCTGAATTTGCTCCAGACTCCACCTCAGTTGATTTCCAAGCTGTAAACACTAATCACGTTGAGGGTACCCACAAAAGAAGGCTGAACTGCTTTCTTTCTGCCGAGAAGAGTTGGCTGCTTAGTCTTCCTATGCCTACAGTTTCTCTTGATGGGTGTGAAGAATTGTAAGCTTCAGGCTTCTGGATTCTCCCAGATTTGCTCTCAGCCTGAGAGCATCCTCCTCCTGAGCTACACACTGGTCATTCTCTTACCATTTTTTACAGTCTTAGAACTTTTGCAGAAGACCACTTGGGAGCATCTTTGCATAATATTCACAATGCCCTGGAATCAATTTCTAGCACCACACAAACTGGGAATGGTGGCACATGCCTGTAATCCCAGTATTTAAGAAGTGGGGGGAGAGAGGATGAGGTGATCCTTAGACACATAGTAAGTTGGAGGCTAGTCTGGGCTGTGTGAGACCCTGCCTACTCATTCCTTAGATACCTTATTCCTTTTTTATTCTTCAAATCCCAGCTTGAATGTTCCCCCTTTTCATTCTTTATCTTAGTATCTTGTTTATCTCCATTGTAGCTTATTTCTATCTTTGTTTTGTTTAATTTTTAAAATTTAATCTCATAATATTCATGAGGACAGAAGTCACTCTATTTTTTTCTCAAAGTTTATTAAAATACAAAAGTCTCCATTTCCGCCCCTCCTCCCAACCCCCTCCCACTCCCCCCACTCCCTCCCCTCCTCCCTCTCCATCCCCAAGAGCAGTCACTCTATTTTATCTGCTGTTAGTGTTCTAGACTTTACACCAGGCCAGACACTGGGAAAACACAACAGGGCTGTGTTGAGAGGAATGAGTGGAATGGTGGGTGGGTGGATGGAATGAGTGGGTGGGTAGATGGGTGGATAGATGGGGGCATATGAATAGATGGATGAATGGGTGGGTGAGTTGATAGATGGATGTGTGGACGAAGAGGATGGAGAAATGAATTGATGGATGGATGGGTAGATGGATGGATGGATGGCTAGACAGGTGACCAAGCAAGCCATGGTTTCTCTCTGTGGCCTTAGAGAAGTCATTTTTCTTGGGAATTCATTTCATTATTTGTGGTGTGGGATTCAAGTGGCTCTTATGCTCTGCAACTCTCCCATCGTTCACACAGAACTTTACAGAAGGGTAAGTTGAGGCATGAAACCAGGGAACACAGACTGCCCAGCCTTGGGCGTTCCTACTCAGATCTTGACAATCACTGGAACAGAAACCAGCAGCTCCTCAGAACTCTGTATTTAGTGCCGTTTATACCATCATGTGAATGTTTTTCCAGGTTCCTCAGAACATGTCAAGAAATAGCTCCACCTGAGAAGCAATCCAGGAGCCTGGGGTTTCGGAAGAAATTCCAAGAATAGCAGTGGATCTTCTTGTATGCATCGTCTTCCTAGGCCCCATGAAAATGAAGCTCTCTGGAGTGTGTGACTGCAGGGAAAACTTCAGTTCAAATGAACCTGGCAGCAAAGAGCATGCCAAGAAAGCAAGAAAGGAAGATGCGGCCTGTGCAGCAGGTGAGAAGCTGGTGGGAAGCAGCGCAAGGAAGTGTGCCATCGTCTTGCTTCTGTGTGAGAGCCCCAGAGGCCTTCCTGGAGAAGGAGCTTGACTCAGGTTCTCATCTTCTCTCCAAACAGCCTACACTGCGGCAGGGAGAGAGCTGCTTCCTCTCAGGCCACCATACTTCTACAATGCTCCTCAGAATTGTCCTTCAACCCAGGAAGCCCTGGCATATCCTTTGAGATCCAGTTAGATGTGGATTCCCGTAGAAAACCTTCCAGAAAATGTCATTCCTCCCTTCCTGTTCTGATGCACTTTCTCAGCATTTGTCTTTAGGAGACCATGAACACCTTTAGGGAAAGGCTTGCTTGTAAAGATTCTGAGCTTAGCTCTGGCTTTGACATAGGCACACTGTTGGATGTATGTTGATTTGCTTACCTGTGGCACCAGGTTGCCAGCACCTGCTTACATGCAATGAGGCTCAAAGCCTGGAGTCAGATTGCCCAAGACCTAAACTCACTGTTATGCACAGTAAATAGGGGAGCCGTTGTTTTTTTCACATGGCACAACCCAAGTATGGGGTGGGCAGCCTTCTCTACATGACCTTCCTGGATTTCGAAAGCTTGCTCTGAGTTGCACAGCCGGTAAATACCAAACAAGAGAAAATTAACCACCTGCCTGGGGCCCTTGTAGGGATTTCCCTCTATGCAATCACACAAGAGTTTCAAAAAATTAGCTTGAAGTTTGACTACATTAATGGCTTATCCCACAAAATTGTGAATAGAATTTATTTATCTTTTAAATTAATTTTTAACTGCATCCTCTATTTATCCTTTGAAAATCCTGTAAACATACGTAAAGCATCCTGATCATACTCACCCCTCCCTCTTTTCACACACCTTCAACATTTCCTTGTCCTATTTTCATGTGTTCCCCATTTTTTAAATCATCTACCGAGACCAATTAGCACTGCCTATTGGAATGTTCACTGATCTTGTTGACTTGATCTGACACAGGTAGCCGCAGCTGCCATGTTTCAGGAGTACAATGGCCCTGCCATGTCTGGAAAACACCATTTCGTGGCATTCCTCCTCATCCTCCAATTCTCACTGTCTTGACTTCATGCTGTCCCATGATGGTCCCAGAACCTCGAGGGGATGGAGATGCAGACACAGATGTCTCATTCAGGGTTAAGTCCTTGATAGTCACGTATGCTCAGCAGGGTCCTGGCTAGTTTTATGTCATCTGAAAGGAGGGCACCTCAATTGAGAAAATGCCTCCAGAAGACCCAGCTGTAGGGCTTTTTGTTAATTTGTGATTGATGTGGGAAGTTCCAGGCTATTGTGGGTGATGCCATCCCTGAGCTGGGGGTTCTGGAATCTATAAGAAAAGAAGCTGGGAAAGCCATGAGGAACAAGGCAGTAAGCAGCCCTCCTCTGCGACTTCTACATCAGCCCCAGCCTCCAGGTTCCTACCCTTTTGAGTTTCTGCCCTCCCTGCTTTTTGATGATGAACTGTTCAATGGAACTATGAATGAAATAAACCCTTTCCTCACCAAGTTGCTGTCGGTCATGGTGTTTCCTCACAACAACAGTAACACTAATTAAGACAAGCCCTTTGTCCTCTTTCGAGTCTCAACCTTGACTGCTGCTGACTGCAGAGAGAAGCTTCTTTGGCCAAGGCTTAGAGCAGAACTAATTGGGCATGATTTCCTTCCTGTGGAGCAGGACTTGTTTCCAACTATGAGCAATTGGTGACTCTGATAATCTTTATGCCACTACTGCACCCATGGACACATCTTGCCTGGTACTGTAGCATGCTTGTGTGTGTGTGCACGCGCGGGGCGGTGGGGGTGCTATGCCGTGCTGTAGCATGTGTGTGGAGGTCAGAGAACAACTCTCGGGAGTTTTATTTCTCCTTTACCATGTGGAATCTGAGGATAGAACTCAGTTGGTCAGTCCTATGTACATGAGCCTTTCATTGCCAGTCTGTCTCACCAGGCTGAGATTACTTTTTAAGAGGTCATATGCTTAGAGGATGAGGAGACAGCCCCGTCAAAAAGTTGTTTGACATGTAAGCATGAGGACTTGAATTTAGATCCCCAAAATCCACAGAAAAGGCCCGGCACCTCAAATTCAAGAGGTTGGGAAGTAGAGACAAAGGATACCTGGACCTTGGTCAGGAAGACTAGTTAATTTACTCAGCTCTAGGTTCAGTGAGTCTCTCAAAGAGTAAGATGGAGAGGGATTGAGAACACTTGGGGCCACTGGCTTTTACACACACACACACACACACACACACACACACACACACACACACCACAGATTCTTCAGCCAGGCATGACAGTGAGCATCAGTAATATCAACACTTGGGAGGTGGAGACGGGAACATCTCTGAGTTCAAGGTTGGTCTGGACTATATGGTAATACCATTGTCTCAAAACTACAAAAGCAAAACAAAATAAATCAAAAGGCATTACAAATTTAGGCAATGCAGTGGCCTTCCACTTTATGTACCTGACTTCAATTACCTGTAGATGGAAACTGGCTAAAGTACATTTCTCCTTGTGTGCAGACTTTCTTCCTATCACTTTCTGAATGCTACATTATTACAGTAATTTACATAGTGTCTATTCTGCATTCAAGACATAGGAGAATGTGAATCAGTTATATGTAAACACTGAGTTATTTACATAAAGGGCTTGCTTGTTTCATATCCACAAGCTCCAAGAGCCAATGCTGTTCCCATTTCCCATTTTCTCTGCTCCCACAGCACAGGGCTCTGCGCCTCTGCTCACACACAGACCTACTTTATGGGTCCTTGACTACATCACTTTATCCCTGTCACACCTCACCCAGAGTCCCTCCTTTTACCCCGGGGAAGTTGCACAGCAGCCTGAACTTTCTCTTGGAAGCAGAAGCCGCTCATTCCTAACAGCTCCCCAGAGCCCTCAGGGTTTCTTCCTCACGCTTCCAGGGAAGCTTCTACCCCAGTCGGAATCTTCCTTCTGTTGCCTGTGGTTCCGGTTCTGTGGCATCTAGAGGCTTTCTTTGGTCCAGCTTCCTCGCCCTCATCATTTCCCCACCTTTGCTTGGCTGCCTTCTTCCTTTGCTTCAAGGACTACCCTAAGTAGGTCACACTGCTGCTTCCTGTCACAGCTCTTCACTCAAGTCATAATTACGGTAGCAGCCCTTTCATCTCTGCAATGGGGACAGCAATTAGATTATTTGAGAAAGATGGTTTAGGCCAGAGAGCTGCAGAAAGCGATGCATGGCAGGGATCTTTGTTCAGCTTGAGATGCCTAGGTGCACATGTATTCGATGGTCTTTTGATGTCCCGGGAGCCTGAAGACACTTATAAAACAAATGGAAGCCCGGAATATATTTTGTGCTTTTCCTCAGCCTTTAATAGTTGCTTTACATGTAACAAATGTTACGATGTTTTTGGTGAATGATCTAAGAGCCATTCAAAAGTATTCAAATCAGTTTCCAAAGAAATACTTTTTTTTTTTTGATTCCCATTTCACTGGATTTCACATATTCCAGTTGCATTGCCCAAGGACAATGAGAGGACAGAAGTAGACATAGGTTTGGAATCAGAACTGCCGCCCTCCACACCGCCAACAACTTTAAGAATTAGAATGGCAGGCTGGGAGAAAAGAGACCATGGGATTTCAACTCCTCGGAGCCTCAGTTTGGGCACATGGTGAAGTCAAGCACTGTGAATTGAAAGGTTTCCCCCGTGGAGGGTAAAGTGAAACTCTTTAGTACCAGGCATCCAAGGAAACTTAGGAGACCCAGGAAACTCCTAAAGTTACAGGATTCACAAGGCCCCACGCCTGTGTTACATAAGCAATGAGTAACTGTTAGGGGTTGGAGATTCTTCGGTGGAGCTGCCTGCAAGATGTGCAGAAAGTGTCCCAGATGTGGCTGCTGCAAGTCATCCCCCATTCTGGGGTGAGGCTCTTTCCTATGACTCAGCTGCCTTTGAGTCACCCATATTTAGTCTCCCCCCCGTCTCTGTTGCTGTGATAAATTACTCTGACAAAAACGTAACTTAGTGGAGAAAGTAACTTAGGCTAAAATATGCAGGGGCATCAACCACGGAGTCTTCATGGGCTAAGTAAGCTAGCTCTCTACCTGTGAGCTGCACCCCGAATTCAGCAGATTCTTTTCCCTTTTCTTATTCGTCTCATGGCTCCAGGTTACAGCCCATCAGTGCAGAGATAGGAAGGTGGCAGGAATGTCAAACATCTGCCAACATCACCCCACAGTCAGAACCAGAGAGGAATGACACACGTCTGCTCAGTGCTCAGTCGGCTTTCTCTGCTCTTACAGTCTACTAGGGAGTCATGTTGCCTGCTTTCAGGCCAGATACCCCACATCAACTAAGGCAGCCAAGACAACACCAGAAAGACATAGCCATAAGTCAACCTGATCTGGACAATCCCTCATCACTCTTTCAAGGTGAGTTTAGGTTGTGTCAAGTTGACAATTAAAACTGTCACCATGAGCCTCAATAAACTCATCAATTCACTGAACTAGACTTGGGTGGAAGCATTCTTTGGTTTGTTCATGGTGTGCTGTCTGGGGAGGGTAGATGTTCGCCTGTTCCCCAGGCAAAGTCACTCAGCGGTGGAAGGAGTCCAGGATGTAGTGACCCATAAGGGCTGACGAGAGATTCCTCATCACAATTAACCAGAGCGGGTGGCTTGTTGCCTGTGTGTGTGAGCCCACAGAAGGGGATCCGTTTCACCTTGCCTGAAGCTCAGAGAGTTTAGACCCATTCTTGCTCCTTCAAGGTTATCTCACAGGAGGTTTGACTCAGGTAATGGGTAATAACTGGATGTTTTGACCTAGGGTGTGGTCAAAGTTTTGCGTATTCAGAAGGTATTACTTTGTTCTTTGTATCTTGGTAAAGAAGTGTCTTGCCTTCCCCTTCCTCTTAGGATTGGAGTATACAAAGCCTATGAGAAATAAACACAGGGCGAATCTCAGCATTTACAAGATGCCCTCCCAACTCTATCCTGTGTCTCTGCCGTTTGTGACTCTGTTTCTTTCTACCTGCCATTTCTTAATCCTCACACTTCCCTCCAAGTACAGACAAATAAGCCAAGTGGGACCCGGCTGATATCACCTGGACATAGGATATGGCAACTGTGTTTGTCCCCGTTTAGGCTAAAATGCGTGGTGGAATGAAACATGGAGTTTCCATGTGCTGGGAAAACCAGCTCTCTATCTATGAGCTCACCGCAGCCTCAGCAGATCCCTTTCTCCTTTTCTAGCACTCCTGACTGATGTATGGACCAGTCCTCGGACTGAGAAGTACAACAGATGCCAAGTGAACTAATGAGAGAGTAGACTACTTCCTTCCTTAAGAGTTCTGTTTCTTTCTGTGTAATAAGGCAGTGTAAGCTCGGTTATGACCATATCCCAATTCTGCAAGAACCTAAGCTACATCTCATATATTTTGTATTCTTTCCTCTGTAGGTTTCACATAGACACAGGGTTACACATTACTGACCCTTCCGGACACACCACATGACTCCCACCATGCCATGCCACTGTCTGTCTTCCAAGGGAGACCATTTCCTTGTTTTAAATAACTCTCCCTCAGCAACACACCCACCCCATCCTCAGTCTCCTCCATGAAATATAAAGCAGAGGCAACTCTGACTATGGGCTGTGTACTAGAGCCATGGAATCTGTTCATGGGGCTTCTACATAGACCTGGCGTTTCTCTGAGTGCGGGTGAGCTGAGGTGGGCAGTTCACGCTTGCCTTGCGCAAGGCTTTAAGTAAATGTCTTTCCCTTCAGTGTTGTGAGCCAGCCTTTCCAGGGCTCAGAGTGAGCCAAGCACTTACGTGAGGCCTCAGAAAGGCCTGCATGTGTTCTCCAGCTCACAGAAACCCTGGGTGTACACTACAACAGCGGATATGTATTAATAAGCAATGGACTTCTATTTGCCATTAGTATATTTCCTTCCATATCTCTTTCAATTATCCCAGGTAAATGAGGGTCTCCTGGAGGCTCTGGGCCACCTGGCTACCTGTACATTAATGACAGTGGTGTTCATTGTCATTAGTTAGATTTCTTCCTGGATATTAGCATGTGACATGCCTTTCAATACAGGGAACTAAGCTATACATTTTGCATTCATTACCCTTTAAAATCTGTAGTCGTCCTAGAGAGCCCATGCTTTTATTGCTGTCATTTTACAGAAGAAACAGAAGAACAGGTGAGTGGAAAGTGCGGCTGTGGTTGAGACCCACACGCTTCGGGCCGCACGCTGGGAGTCTTCCTCACCGTGTGCGATTACCCTGCAGCATATCGATGACACTAACATTTTCTGAATAATTAACTCACCGATTCCATGTCATGTATGATCCAATACAGGACAAGTAAACTCTGCACTGGAGAAGGATGTTCTAATGGGAGGGGGGAGAAAGCTTTCCCATCATGAATAAAGAGGAAGGGGAGCCTGCTGAGCTGCGGAAAGAACTCCCTGTGCCTACAGATGGAAGGCCACCACCTCAAGAGGAAGGG